GGGTCTTATAACACTGATTTTAAATTGTATTACATCTCTCTTTTGGATTTTTGATTTGAAATACTCTGTTTGAAACTAAAATTCACTCGTGATTAAGAAGCAAAGATTATTGATTTTCAGCAGTAAAAACCGCGTTAAGCTAATGTAATTTGAGCTTTTGTTGATCAATTTACGGAGAATAATCATGTCAATTATGTTAGTCGAACCAAGTGAATCTGCAATATAAGTTATTATAAATACCTTGGGTTCAAGAAGTGTATTCGCATCGGGCGAAATAAAAAATTTCAAAATAAATGCCGACAAACCTGGTTAATCACAAGAATTGGTTATTCTCATTCGCAACTTTTGATTTATTGAATCTCCTATATTTATTACAAAATAATTTGCGCTTATTTTGCCTTTTAGTTTGTCTCAATTGACGTTACAGTTCGTTTCTCGTGTTGCAAAAAAAGCTTGAAACTTGCCACAATACCAGGCACTGTTTGAATCTGAAGTATAAATTTTAGGGCAGAAAGTTTTAAAGAGCAGCTGAGACAGTAGAGTGTGATGTATTGAGCAGAAGTTAGTACTTTCTGAGAAAATTATTTATAAAAATCAAAGTTATTGTATAAGCACCAGCTTTTCGCAGAAACTTGAGACCATTTTTTGTTAGACTAGAACGATCAAAAATTTCGAAAGTTTCCTGCCAGTCACTCCAGCCACGTAGCATCAAAAACTATGGGGAAGAAAAAAAGCTGACATTCTTACATGAAGCAGCAGAGTTCCACGGGGCTTGCTTCAATGCTGAATAAGGCCCTAGATATGTTGAATGATAGGGGATTCACAAAACAGGTCGACAAAACAGACCAAATATATTTGTTTCACTTGAAATGAATTTAAAAAAGCAACTTAATTCAGTGCCGCTTCACAAATAAAATTTTACTTTAATGTTTTGTTTTGTTTGCTTAGTATTTGACGCGCATATAATTTTTGATAAATGTACATTATTGTACCACCAATGCACATGAAGCTGAACACTTCTAAACCGTGAATGATTATTAGTCACAGTTTTGATTTTTTTCATCGTTGAAAAAGTTTGAGTACAAAAATCATTAGAATCGCTGATATAATGTACTTTGCCGCAGTTCAGCTCAGAAAAACCAGATTAATTATTTTGTGGATTATTTTAATTGTTATTATTTTTTATGCAATTGCAAATTATTTTTTTGGCACTGAAAAATTTGAAGGGCTATATGAAAAGATTGCGAAAACTGGTGTAGGTCGGGATTCGAACCCCTGCAATGAGAGTTGGAGCTCGGGAAATACAGTATGGATGATCGAGACCAAGTATTTAGAAACGGTTAAGCCACTCATACAATGTGAGATTGAGAGTTATGTCAAATTGATGCCAGAAGTTTGCTTAAGGTGAGAAAATATTAATTACTGCGCAAAAGGAAACGGATTTTCAATCAAAAATTAATTTCTTCCATCTTGCCAGTTTCTTTTATGTCGATCAAAATGATTATCCAGGCTCTTTCAAAACACTAAAAAGATCTGAATTTCACAAGGCTTGAAGATAAGGCGCTGAAATCAAGCTTATTCAGCATATAAACTCCCCCTACAAAAGTGGTTACATAGAGGAGCCCACAGCCTCCTCTCAAAAAATTTAATGAGGAGAAATCATTCAATGGGGGGGGGGGGATTGAATGAGGAGGAGGGGGGGGGGGGCAATTGATGGAGGGGGTCCACAAAAAACCGAAGTCATGAAATAGCACACCGAGACAATATAAATGAGTTCGGTTGTTATTAATTTAGTGGTTATGATTGTGGTTTCAGATTGTTGCTCATTGACCCCTCGAATAACATTCCTCAACTTATGTCCGAAGTCCACTCAGTACTCGGAAGGGACCTCACCAGCACTTTTCACATGGTCCATATGTCAGCAGAGGTACAAATTTTTGTCGAACTACTGTTTTTTATTTTATCTAAGTAAAATGTTTAAATCAATAGGAATTCGAACCTTGCTACTTGATTTCTCCCTGTTAAAAAAATTGACCGTAGCTAAGATTTTGATTGAAAAAAGTGGCAATATTTGTGTTTTTTTGGTCTACCGTGTTTTTTTTTGTATAAGGGGGTTCACGTGAGATTGCAGACTCTTTATGCTATTAGTGATCTTAATACTATTTTTGTTTTGTTGCTCTGAAGCAGCAATCAGGTGGTTCCATTGACAAGTTTGTTGAACCAGAAAAAATTGAAGTTAAAGGTTGCAGTGCACTAATATCTTGTAACTCAGAGTTTTTTCCAAAATCTACCCGTTTCTCAATTTAACAGACTAAAAAGACATTTTAAATGGGAAATATGGGCTGAATAAAACAAAAGTTGTAATAAATGGAACAACTGAAACGTGAAGCTAAGAAAAGTTAATTTTCAACAAAATTTAATATTTAAAATTAGTATTGTTTTATTCTTTGGTAAATTAGGTGTTAATTGTGATATTGCATGCAGTTATCATTGTTGATTTTCACTCAGAATCAAAATTTCTTTTACTAGCAGCATGGCATATTTAACCAAGTCGTTATTTAGAATTTACATGTCTGTGAAGTATTAGTACGGGTTGTTTTCGTGATATTCAAGGTATTTAGTATCAAACAAGATTGCTCGTATATCAGAGTGAAGCCCTGAATTTTCCGACTGTCATTTACTTCACTGTCCAAAATTTAGTGCAGAACATTTACAATTTTCAAACCCCAGAACTTTACAAAAAATAATCGGGTTAAAAATTTTTTTATATTTGAACTCAGAAAGTCGATATCTTCAATGGAGTACGAAAAATTTTGTGTTGAAAATTATTATTTGGATTGCAGAAATCAACTGAAAAAAAAACACCACACTGAGCATATATTTTCCGTTTTCTTCGAAAGTCGGAACAATATTTTTGTCCCATTGTCCTAAATGGACACATTGTCATTCAAATTATATAATACGAATTAAATTTACGCGAAAATTAAAGTGTCGTCTTTGGGAAATTTGACTGTTTAGACCCAATATATCCCTTCTATATTGTCCGCTGAGTCCCTTCCCTAAATACCAGAACCAGCAAGGTGTGAGGTATGATCCGGTATTTGGCGACAATCCCATCGGTTGAAAAGTTGAGTTTGGTGGTCGATCGATGTACTACACTGGGTTGCGTACCCTTTACTCAATTGCTCTCGACTGTTCTTTTCCTCGGAAAGAATCGCAAGAAACTGGATAGTAATTGAATTCAGAAATAAATACGTGAATTGCTGAGTATAAGGGCCGCTAAGTGGCCTGAATACAATTTATTAAGTATCAATGAATTTAATCTGCGATAAGTTCCCGAAAACTGCCCCTTGCAAATCACTTTAAAAACAATTCTAAACAACTCTTCAACTTGCTTTACAAAGCTTCACTAAAAATTTTGCGTCGAGAACTCACTTTAAAAATTTTACGAGTCACTCTCAGGACCCGTCTGAATTCTATAAGTCTCAATCTTGTTCTCTAACTAACTGAGAACCAACCACTCGCTCTCACAGCACAATTGTTCTCTCTACTCTGATTGAGAGCCAACTACTCTTAATAGTAGTTAACCACTGTTCTCTAAGTAACTGAGAACCCACTACTCTCTCTAGTAGTTATCAACTGTTCTGTCCAGTTCGGTGATTGTGCCTGAATTGCATATCGTTATCTTTATTTACTTTAGGTTCGGTCAGAGGCGTACAGTTCCCTATCCCTACTAACATTCACTTAACTAGCTGCCACTCAGGACTTATCAGCTGAATCAACCATTAGGTCAGCTTTAATTAAACATCGGGGTGGCACTTAGTTAATCAGGACATACTGAGCAAACATTGGGTTCAACTAAAAAATCAGCTCCCAATTGTATTTGACAAATGCCCCTTGCATGATTTTATTTTGGTTCTTCCTAACTTTTTCCCTTTAGTATGAATTGGGTGGTTCTCACACCACCGGGAATTTAACATCCGTGATACTTGAAAAGTTTCCATTTTTGGTCATCTTTAATTTTATTCCCCGAAGTCCAAGGGCTGGGTAATTCCCTTCCCCCTGTCCGTTTTGATCCGAAAAAACACCATAAAAATTTATTTAATATGCTAGGGCTGTTCATAAAATCTTCATCCCGAAATTCCCATTTCCCCCCATAGATGTTCTCAATTTTTTTCCGGGGCTGTATTTTTACTTGTTTGTCGTTCTTATCGAAAGTCCAAGTGGAGTGGGTTAAGCTGACCCCAATGTTTGCTAATAACAGAAAATCACTTTCGCTCGCGTACAAAGGTCAAAACCAAAAATACTCGATTTAGGTGCCTCCCCTTACCTCCCCAGGTGGGTAGGCACCCGTTACGGATCCTTACAATGCTAATTTACCGCTTTTCAGTTGGTTCCAGGGGTCTTGGGGTCAAACTTGCCAAATGACCTCTTAGAGGTCATCCTAGGTCAAATGAGGTCAAACGCGTCCAAACGTCTTATTTTCGATGGGAGATCATTCCCACTAAGTTTCATTCATATCGGACCATCCCTTCCCATATTTTCGAAAAATTTGGGTCAATTAACACTTTTCTCTAAATTTGCCATTTTCACCCCATAGGAAGTTCCGGAGGGAATAGGGTCACTAGGGTTCCCCCTACTGGGTTGGGCCCTCCTTCACATTGTTGCATTAAAATCACAAGTCAATTATCGCTATCAGGTTTTAATAGCCTAATTCAATTTTCAAGTGCTAATAGCTTCTGACGTAGCCGCCGGATTGGGTCCAAACATTAATTCATCATAGGTCTCCCCCCAACCTACCATCCCCACAAGTTTCTGCCTCCTAGCATTATCAGGGGTCGAGAAATATCAAAAAGTGGGTTTTGTTTACATAGGGCGTAAAACCGGAAGTAATAACCGGACGCGTTCAAAATCCCGGTGGTGAACTTTCCTTGCCTAGGGCTACAATATATTGCAATATGAAGTCATTCTGACCATTAGTTACCGGTTTACAAAAAGTGCTAATTGCATTTTCGGGAATCCTTATCACTCGCGCCCCAGTGGTCCCAGGGGTCTGGAAATTTGCATGCCCGGCTAAAATCACCCACCAATTTTCATAAGGATCGGACCAGTGGTTCCCAATCCGGAGGGGGGGGGGGGTTTCCAGATTTTTAGCGCTTTTCCAATTTTTCGCCCTAGAGGTCAAATTCAAGGCGCAAAGTCCGATTACGATTGTTTGCTCTCAAAATAAGCTTATCTATCACTGAACTTCCCTGCTACAAGTTCATACAGTCTGTTCACGTTAAAATCAAAGTTCGCAATTTTCAACCATTTTCATCATGAATTATTAATCCTACGCTCAGGTTACTATAGTATGTAATACAGTAGAATCACCAATTCTACAGTCTTCCCGTCTAGTCTATTATTCTCCCGAATAATGCTACTAACAAAGTGTTTTTTTTACCGTCTCTCTACTAAGACAAATAACTAATCTAACACCTCAACTCGACTCTTTGTGTAATATCTAATCCCTCTTTTAACACCATTTTTTTCTTCTAAACTAGACTTTCGTTTTTTTTTGTTGCTATACTACACCGCCTTGTACTACTCTCCAGTTTTCGACACAACTTATATGCACCATCGTTTACGTGTTGGGACGCAGTGAACCGCGGGCTTCAGTTTCCATAGACTCTTACATAATAAATTTATCTATGATAGCACCAAGGGTTGCTTCCTTGAGTGAAGCAACTAAGAGTCTAAGAAAGATTTTACACGCGTTGTGAAATACCTCCACCATTCTATCGAAACAATAAATTATACTACCAAGATTTTTACTGAGTTTCTCTCCGTCTTACTGGTGGAGATGTTTCTAAAGCACTTATAAATATCGCAAACGAGATTAGAATGTGAGAGAGGGAGAAAGAGTTTTTAGTTTTACTCACTGAACTGAATTAAACCCCGTACTAGTTCACCGACTTCTTGTTTCAAGTCTCTTTCATCGCTGCTCCTGTCGTTTCCATCTGTCTACGAGGTGCCGATAGTCCTGCTGCGGCACAGTCCAGTTATCCGACTCCCCCATAGCATCTGGAGGACGCCAACACTGCTTCGGGACCTCGCCCTCCAATGCGGCCGAGCCCCGGTCAACTTCATCTTCACCGAACAAAGACAGCTTTTTCCATCGATCGATCTAATTGTGGAAGTAGGCGGACCCTACATCTCTAAGCTCCACTTCCTTTCTACCGCCGAGCCACTCTCGATCATCGTTTATTTGGAATCGCTTGGATGACCTGAAGAAACCTTCTGATCAGCTACTCGCAAGCAGATTTTGACGTTCGTCCCATCGAATCGCGTCGCTGTCGACTACTTCGTCCACCTCTGTCACTGGAACCACTGCAACTCTCTCTCTCCGTTCGGCCTCCTCCACGAGGTCGTCTCAAAGCTTCATCTAATGAAACAGGCTTTGGGCACCCGTACATTTCGTATTCCTCCACTTTCGTTTCTTGAACCACATTTATGCTGTGATCGTCATAACTCGTCGGCCACCCTTCCAAGATTTTGTCGGGAGACTCCACTGCCGCTGTTATATTCGCAACCAACCTCTTCCGCTTGTCTGATCTTGGAATATGGTTTCCTTTAATCTGTCCGCCTGGTTCATGTGGCAGAGAGGGCCTCTGTTCCGGAGAATGCCCATGAGTCAAGTGCCGTATGGGTACCATTGAACCTTCTCTCGCCCCCGTCCACAAGAAATCTTCTCCGCGACTAATAACCAAAGAGCACTGATACTCTTTCATCGATCGTAGTCCTAGGACCATCTCGGCTTTCAGTTTTGGGACCACAAGCGAACTCGCCTACTGTCCCGTCCCTTGCTAGTTTAAATGGTTCGCGCTTCTTTGGGGACATCCTTTTGCAATGTGGCCCACCTGTCCACAATTAAAACAACCACCCTGG